CAAGAGTTCCAGCATAGTTTCGGTTGCTTGGCTTTCCAGGGACAGTTGCTGTTACGCTCCCGGTGTGGTTCCTATTTCTGCTACGCCTTGTTACTCCCCAAACGGGTTCCTGCCCGTTACTCCCCGCACCCTTGAAAATAGGGGCCCCACATGATTTTGAGGGTTTCTGAGTTTGAAGATCCTACTACTGGGGCTAGAGTTGTTTCCCAACTATTCTGAACTCCCTGACATGGTTAGGATGTAGATATAGTTAGATAGGCTTTAAACGGACTGTTTAGGGTCTATCTTGGGGGCCCGGGAGTTAGTTCTCTTCGGAAGCTGCAATGTTTGCATTCTCTGTTCGGTACCACTTCTGGGACAGCGTGAAGATAAAGGATCTGTGAGTCCGGGGCGATCAAAGTTAGAACATAAACACTGTAGACCCCCTACCTTAAGGGATAGCAATGGGGAAAGCAATATGAGGAAACCTGCTCCTGGCCGTGGCTTTGCTCTGTTTCATATGAGCACAGACGAGATAGGGTTTTGGGTTTAGGGTATATTTATTTGGCCAAGTAGAAGATTTCAACATAAACACAGAGTATGGCAAGCTTGAAGCTGCTTGGACCAGTTTGGATGCAATTCCTGGAAAACTTCCCAGTACTCTGGCAAGATGGGAGATGGCTCCTGGTTGGCCACAATTTTATATTATGTATGTATTGTATATACATATATGTATACATATATATATATATGCATACACGTATATTATGGCCTCTTTTCAAAACTGCTGTGAGAAACCCCTTCACAGGCTCTCTAGTTCAAGCCTCCGGGCACAAAGTTCACACTTCTCTAGGACACTATGCGTAAAGGATCCGCGGGCTTGGTGGATTGGCCTTGTGGCGCAAGAGCTTACATTGCTTGCAACCCAATTACAACACTTACAACCTCACTCGTGAAGTCCCGATCTCCCCTGATCATGGGGAAATGTCTTGTCTGTTCTTTTACGGAGCTTGCAGCGGGTTCGGGTTTAGGGTCCCGGAACTCTTGTATCACATGCTCAGGCGCTCATCTTGGAAGGCGTGTTCCAGATCCCCGAGGCCCCAATTGAAACCACTGACCTTAAAACATGTCAATTGGCAGGCAAAAGTAACCCCAACCCCGGAGATCCTTACAACAGACGCCTTGAAATTCACCAACTTACACAAAATTTTACAGCCGCAGCATGCTTGTCCGAAACAAGCCGCATAACATTTCGCATAGCCTTGTATAATGTAGGTATTATAGAATAATATAATGTCATATACGGAAGCCATGGAAAGGTATGAGGAAAAGGGTTCGCGTGACCCGTTCTCCTACGCCCTCGCCCTCCCAAGTTGCTCTCGAGCCGCCATTGGTGGTTTAGGGCTTAGGGTTCATCGGCAGAGTCTGGGTTCAACAATAGAGTTCACAACCACATGATTTAGGGTGTAGGGGGTTGTGGGAGTTAGAGATTCAGAAGGGTCCCTTTTAGGGTCCTGTTAGGTTCCTTAAAGGGATCTTCATAGCGTGACGGAATTGTGTGGAGCCTTGCCTGCCTGGTGCGAGAGTGAGAGTCGAAAAGGATCTTCAAAGGTTTCTACAAGGGTACCATAGGGGTAGTAGGGTCCCTTTTTAGGGTCATTTTAGGGTTCCTTAAAGGGAACTATAAGGGGTTCCATAAGGACTATAAGGGTAGTTCACTACTTCGGGTCCTTTTTAGTGTCCTTTTTATCAGTGTGACGTATTATGTTTTGGGGACCTAAACAGGGACCCTAGTTTAGAGAGCTACCTATGTGTTTATGGCCCAGGGCAAAAGCCTTTACCCTTCCTCATTTGAACCACCAAAACCCTGAAAAGCCTAAACCCTGAACCTAAATCTTAACCCTTAGCCTACATAAAGCCAACAAGAAGCCTCCGCTTCGAGAGTTTCAAGCTCTTAGTTTCTGGGGCCTGAAATTGAAGAATTGCATTGATAACCCTAAACCTTACACCCTAAATCCTTAGGGTTCCCTAAAGTAGCTATGGAGCCTCATCATGTATTTGCCCCCTGTACTTTGCAAGCATGCGTACTCGGGCTTAGGGTGGTCTACTTATACCCAGGGTTCAGGATTTAATTTTAGCATTTGTATAGAGAGGGTGGGGTTAGCATTCACAG